AGCAAAACAACAAGAAAAAATGACAAAAATCAAAAATTACCCGACGGGCTGTAACACTGTTAGCGTGTTGTTTTGTTCGATTTCAACACCTTAACGAGTGCATGATTTCAACACGTGGAAGACAAATCATAAAAGCGACAAGAGAGACTGAAGCACTGGGAATCAAACTTTTATTATGACGAATACTAAAAACTCCCCTGTTATGAGGGAGAAATCTAACGTTTAAACAATAATGGAAACGTCTACAAGGTAAAGGCAGGAAGGGATTTATTCTTTTGAAGATATACATGGTATGAAGAGCCGATGAACAACTTCTTGCACGTTGACAATGTGTATTTGCTACACTTAGATAGCGTTGAAGTTTCCACAGCCTTCGTAGACGTTGAACTGTGGAAAAGAGGCCCAAAAAATCATTTAGTTTAGTTTAATGTAAGGAAGATTTTTACGGTACTTTTAACACTAGTAGGTCATACACATGACAAATATTTGAGATGTAATTAATATTGCCATAGGGTATTAATTAAAGGAGAGTAACATACGAAGAAAAGAGGGAGGGAAGATAAGGACTGTTGACATATTGATGAGAAAGAAAGAGCAATCCGCACCAGAGCACCCGCCAACCAACTAAAAGAAAAAAAGGCAACCCATGTTCGATGTTTAAGAAATGATAATATAGGAGTATTATAGTAGAGTATCTCTAAGAAAACGTAACAGTTATCTCCGACAGAACTACCACTACCTAAACAGTCCCGAGCACATTCAGTTAATTCAAACACTATTTCAGTATTTCTTGCAACTTCTTCGTTGCCGAAGATAAAGAACCTGTCAATACTGCTTACGTTTTCTGATGATGACCTAGTATCTTTCCAAAATTATTGAACAACGAATTCAGTAAAAGATGACATTACACAATAATTGATAATTGGCAAGTACATTCCTGCCCAATTTCCCAGCAAGTAAATACAGAAAAGCAACAATAAGAACAACCCCCCCCCCCAACCCAAACCACCAAATCCCTTAACCCTATCCGTACGTCGTGTTTTATTATCGTATCCGTACGACGTGGGGAACTCTGTGCCACCACTTTCCAAAGAGGCAATTCACACGTTAATCCGACTCTTGCGCTTTGCATAACAGTCTGTCAAAATGATTTTTTGAGAAATACTGAAAGTCTCAAAGAGATCTTCCTCCTAGAAGTATTCTAAAATGTGAAGAATACAACTCAGGGAGTACAAAATGACCCCAGGGCGTACGGATAGGGTTTTAAAAAACGCCCAGCAAACAACACCAAAAAAAAACCAAAGGTGAAAGTAACAATTACCCTCCTGATACGACCAGTCAGCCCACGACCAATCACGAAACCACACTTGTTGGGTCTCAGAGAAGCTGAAATGGGGAAAAGAAAGATACAGTAATTTGTATATAAAGTTGAAACGGGGCATTCATTATTAAATGATATTCTCCAAAACTTTCCAGCAGCACCCAACCCTCCCACCCTCCTTTACAGCCCTTCAAGCAAGCCCCATCCTCTTTTACAACCCTTCAACGCAACCCCCACCCTCTTTTCCAAACTTTCAAAGCCACCCCCACCGTCCTTTACAACCCCTCAAAACCACCCCCACCCTCCTTTACAACCCTTCAAAGCCACCCCTCCCTCAAATCTTGAAGTAACCAGATGCTCATTCTAACAGCATAACAGTCTTTTCAGCCTGGGGATAAAACAAGCCAATGAGACAGACAGACACGACTAAATGAACAATAAAAAAAAGTAGAGTGTACTAATGTCATAGTTAAACCTCACTCGTAAGGTTGCTCTTGTAAATTGCATACCCCCCCCCCCCTTTTCCTTATATAAAAGAAAACTTATTAAAAAAACAAACAAATAAAACAAAACATCTCCATCCCAGCTTCCTCATCTCTTTTAAAGAATACATCAATGCAAAGCAAAAAAAAAAAAAAATGAACCAAAGCAAAATCACATAAACCTTGTCCATCAACCCCTCCAACTCCCTCTTTCCCAAAAGAAGATAAAAAAGAACAAAACATCCTTAACAACAACAACAACAACAAAGCAACAAATAAAAAGAACCCTACCAAAACAACCAACACACACACACACACACA